CTCTGAAGCCGGCGATATCTGGAACCAGTCTCTGAAGCTGGCGTTGCCGCAGCACTGGAACTGGATCTGCAGCAGGTCCACGGTGTGCTTCAGGAAGCTTTTAAACAAATAAAAAAATGACCAGATATTGCACACCTCTGCTGAACCATCAACACATAAGTGTGCATTACCACAATAATTTGCTAAGCATTTATTTAGAATAAATATAATAAAATAAACTACAAATATAATAGACTATACTTTTCTTTATTTTTATGGAAGACCAAAGCATCTGATGTCTCAATCATTTTGTTTACCACCTCAGAGCTTTCACATAACAGTGTGGTTCCCCATGCCGCTTTATCAATACGGAGTTCAAAAAGAGAAACCCCATGCTTCACCTGTCTGTCCTGAACACAGCCACAGGTCATCCCTACAGACTGGGAATATCAGGAGAGAGCACCATACAGAAGGACCTACACTTGAAGTCGGAAGTTTACATACAGATGAAGTCAGAAGTTTACATACACTTAGGTTGGAGTCATTAAAACTCGTTTTTCAACCACTCCACAAATTTCTTGTTAACAAACTATAGTTTTGGCAAGTTGGTTTGGACATCTACTTTGTGCATGACACAAGTAATATTTCCAGCAATTGTTTACAGACAGATTATTTCACTTATAATTCACTGTATCACAATTCCAGTGGGTCAGAAGTTTACATACACTAAGTTGACTGTGCCTTTAAACAGCTTGGAAAATTCCAGAAAATGATGTAATGGCTTTAGAAGCTTCTGATAGGCTAATTGACATAATTTGAGTCAATTGAAGGTATACCTGTGGATGTATTTCAAGGAATACCTTCAAACCCAGTGCCTCTTTGCTTGACATCATGGGACAATCAAAAGAAATCAGCCAAGACCACAGAAAAAAAAATTGTAGACCTCCACAAGTCTGGCTCTTCCTTGGGAGCAATTTCCAAACGCCTGAAGGTACCACGTTCATCTATACAAACAATAGTACGCATGTATAAACACCATGGGACCACGCAGCCGTCACACTGCTCAGGAAGGAGACGTGTTCTGTCTCCTAGAGATGCAAATCAATCCCAGAAGGGACCTTGTGAAGATGCTGGAGGAAACAGGTACAAAAGTATCTATATCCACAGTATAACGAGTCCTATATCGACATAACCTGAAAGGCTGCTCAGCAAGGAAGAAGCCAATGCTCCAAAACCGCCATAAAAAAGACAGACTACGGTTTGCAACTGCACATGGGGACAAAGGTCGTACGTTTTGGAGAAATGTCCTCCGGTCTGATGAAACAAAAATGGAACTGTTTGCCCATAATGACCATCGTTATGTTTGGAGGAAAAAGGGGATTGATTGCAAGCCGAAGAACACCATCCCAACCGTGAAGCACGGGGGTGGCAGCATCATGCTGTGGGGGTGCTTTGCTGCAGGAGGGTCTGGTGCACTTCACAAAATAGATGGCATCATGAGGAAGGAAAATTATGTGGATATATTGAAGTAACATCTCAAGACATCAGTCAGGAAGTTAAAGCTTGGTCGCAAAGTCACAAAGTAGATGTCCTAACCGACTTGCCAAAACTATAGTTTGTTAACAAGAAATTTGTGGAGTGGTTGAAAAACTAATTTTAATGACTCCAACCTAAGTGTATGTAAACTTCCGACTTCAACTATACCTTATTTCTGCAGCATTCGTGTTGTCTGTCTGATCTGGCTCCCATCCCTGTTTGTTTTTCTCTTCAGTGACAGACATCTTAAGGCTTGGCCTGGAGATAGTTTAGCCGTAGTGACTCAGGTGGAACAGACAGACACCCGCCGGTGGCAGCATCAGGGTGAGTCCGCTGGCCAAGCCCCCTGACCCTCCTAATAATCCCCTCTAATCACTAATCTGCCCTGTAGGATTTGGATGTACCTTCTGCCACCTGCGCAAATCTGACTGCAGCACCACAAAGAGTTATAATGGTCATGTGTGTGTTTGTGTGTGTGTTTGTATGTTTGTGTCCAGTGAGCCCTTCTCTGATTCTGTAAATTTAGAAGTCAATAGGCAATACATCAAGTAAGGCAATACATCAAGACTAAATCAGTTTTGTGATGAGGACAATATTATGCTCATAAGCAAATACTGAAAATGTGTGAGATTGTTTGATAATGTTTCAGAGCGTTTGATAATGTCCTTTAATGTGATCAAATTAACAAAGTTTGTGCTTCCCTCCAGTGCTTTGATGACACTATGCATATAAATGGCCCAAGAAATAGTCAACACTGAGGATTGAAAGCTCCAAATACCTTAATACAGTCTCGATTATCCTCATGGTGTTATTGTATTTGAAACAAACAACTTTCACCTACTACCCCTCCCTCCCTCCCTCCCTCCACTTACTCTTTCCTATTCCCGAGCTCTTTTTTTTCTCTCCGTCTCTCACGCACACATCCATACACATCCACACAGTCAATCAGCCAATGACTACTGGATTACCATGTCCCAAAGGAGCTTGTGTAAGAGGAGAGTTCCACTGTGGACACACACTTGCCCAGTCAGCACATCCACAGCGATCCCAGGAGCACCGGACCAACGTGGCAGGTAAATTCTGGAGTTCACAGTTTAGTCAATCATGGTTCTTCGGTAAAATGGCTATCACTTGTAGTATACTCTAATACTGTGATTCGATCTGATCGTGAATATCATGGATAGCAGGCCTCTAGGCTTTACGGCACTGTAAGTTCATTACATTCTTAAAGCCATATACATAACATTGGTCTTCAATTCTGTAAAGGATGTTATATTCTATGCAGTATTGTACTTGATCTAAAAACCAATTATCCTCTCTGATGCCTGTGGTTTGTAGTTCCAGTGTTAATACAGCAACATGACTTAATGTTAATTTATTTAATGCATTTCCTTTGGAATGGGATTATAACCAACTATGGATATGAGGGATTATGTTCAGTAATGGCCTATTGAAAAAGAGATGTGTAGCAACTGTGTGAATGAATTACAGTTGCTCCCAACAGAGAAGAATCCCCTGACTGCATAATACTGTCTGCTTGACTTCACCCCCAGAACATTGAACAGAAGCTGGTAATTGCATTTGTACATAAAGTTTTTTATCCAGAACTTTAATTTGACCAGATTTTGAGGGATTTGAGAACATGTTCTCTTTTACAACAATGACTTACAGTGCAGTCGGAAAGTATTCAGACGCCTTTAATTTTTCCACATTTTGTTACGTTACAGCCTTATTCTAAAATTGATAGTTTTTTCTTATTTTCATCAATCTACACACAATACCCCATAATGACAAAGCGAAAACAGGTTTTAAGAATTTTTGGCAAATTTATAAAAAATATAAAACAGAAATACCTGTATTCAGACCTTATGCTATGAGACTTGAAATTGAGCTCAGGTGCATCCTGTTTCCATTGATCATCCTTGATATGTTTCTACAACTTGATTGGAGTCCACCTGTGGTACATTTAATTGATTGAACATGATTTGGAAAGGCACACACCTGTCTATATAAGGTCCCACAGTTGACAGTGCATGTCAGAGCAAAAACCAAGCCATGAGGTTGAAGAAATTGTCCGTAGAGATCCGAGACAGGATTGTGTCGAGGCACAGATCTGGGGAAGGGTACCAAAACATTTCTGCAGCATTGAAGATCCCCAAGAACATAGTGGCCTCCATCATTCTTAAATGGAAGAAGTTTGGAACCACCAAGACTCTTCCTAGAGCTGGCCGCCCCGCCAAACTGAGCAATCGGGGGAGAAGGGCCTTGGTCAGGGAGGTGACCAAGAACCCGATGGTCACTCTGACAAAGCTCCAGAGTTCCTCTGTAGAGATGGGAGAACCTTCCAGAAGGACAACCATCTCTGCAGCACTCCACCAATCAGGGATTTATGGTAGTGGCCAGACAGAAGCCACTCCTCAGTAAAAGGCACATGACAGCGCGCTTGGAATTTGCTAAAAGGCACCTAAAGGACTCTGACTATGAGAAACAAGATTCTCTGGTCTGATGAAACCAAGATTGAACTCTTTGGCCTGAATGCCAAGCGTCACGTCTGGAGGAAACCTGGCACCATCCCTATGGTGAAGCATGGTGGTGACAGCATCATGCTGTGGGGATGTTTTCCAGCGGCAGGGACTGGGAGACTAGTCAGGATCGAGGGGAAGATGAACGGAGCAAAGTACAGAGCGATCCTTGATGAAAATCTGCTCCAGAGCGCTCAGGACCTCAGATTGGGGCGAAGGTTCACCTTCCAATAAGACAACAACCCTAACCACACAGCCAATACAACGCATGAGTGGCTTCGGGAAAAGTCTCTGAATGTCCTTGAGTGGCCCAGACAGAGCCCGGACTTGAACCCGATCGAACATCTCTGGAGAGACCTGAAAATAGCTGTGCAGCGACGCTCCCCATACAACCTGACAGAGCTTGAGAGGATCTGCAGAGAAGAATGGGAGAAACTCCCCAAATACAGGTGTGCCATGCTTGTAGCGTCATTAATAATAATAATATGCCATTTAGCAGACGCTTTTATCCAAAGCGACTTACAGTCATGTGTGCATGCATTTTTACGTATGGGTGGTCCCAGGGTTCGAACCCACTACCCTGGCGTTACAAGCGCCATGCTCTACCAATTGAGCTACAGAGGACCACAATCATACCCAAGAAGATTCAAGGCTGTAATCGCTGCCAATGGTGCTTCAACAAAGTACTGAGTAAAGGGTCTGAATACTTATGTTAATGTTATATTTAAGTTTTTTATAAATTTGCAAAAATGTCTAAAAACCTGTTTTTGCTTTGTCATTATGGGGTATTGTGTGTAGCTTGATGAGGGGGAAAAAACAATTTAGTCAATTTTAGAATAAGGCTGTAACGTCACAGAATATGGAAAAAGTCAAGGGGTCTGAATACTTTCCGAATGCACTGTATGTGTTTGGTACATTCACTGTTAACATCCTCAGGGTGTGAGAGGCCTCAACAGCAGGACTATGATGGACACAGAGGACCAGTGGACACATGCCTTGGCTAGCAACAACGTGAGGGCCATCCTCCGCTGGCTACGCAGCCTCTCAGCTGAAGGTCAGATCACTGGCTGGCAATATGAAAACCACATGCAGCATACAGTACTTACAGCCACTTACTGTGTCTAAGAATGGTTGGCTACTTTAACATACTGTAATGCTTCGATGATTATGATATGGGATCATCATTAGTAACATTTCATCTCAGTTCATGCTGCTTTTGATTATGACCCATTATGTAATTACATGAATTTGTCTCATTCCATTCATCTGTCTCTCAGTGGGAAATGCTGATGTGGAGGACAGCCTCGCTACGTTCAGCTGCTGGGTCCAGAGGATGGCTGTAGTTTCAAAGAAGGAGTTACTCACCCTTTGTAAGCAGATATGCACCACAGCACCAGCTATCCCAAACAGAGCCAAAGGCTATCGATCCCAGCTCTTTCCACGGCTTTATTACATAGGTCTTCTCCTGTCCCCTCTCTCTGGGTCCCCCTCTCCTCTCCCGTCCCCTCCCCTGTCTCTAGGCTTCAGCCGTTGCCAGGGCCTGTGGATGTTCCTGGACCACAGCTGCTTTACCAGGGTGCACCTGCTCTTGCAGCGGCTGAGGAACCTGCTGACCCTGGCCCAGTGGGGGAGGAGGCAGAGCGGCCTGACACACTTCTGGCATGGTACAGTACTATTCCAACCCTGGCCCCCCTCTCACAAGGATCAGATTGTTGTATGAATGATATCAACTGGCTAGTTGGTTTAATACAATGACCTTATCTAGATGCCTAGTGCTAGCATTTGGTATGGTTGTAACAATATAGGTGAAAACATTGTAGTTTCTATCAAGAGAGCTGTCTCTCCTCTGTGTGTATGTAGGTTTGGGGATCCCGTGTGTGGTCTGCAGGGCCGGGTGTGGGTCCTCAGTTGTGAGGCAGGACTGCTGGAATCGGGAACACAGAGGTCTGAAGCAACACATCTGGCTGGGTCGGCTTGTACAGTGGTGGGGCACCACCGGACTCCTGCCCAAGTACCCTGGTAAGGATGCATACGTTAACATTATAGAAGGACAAACAGTCAAACTGTACAAACCGTTCACACTTTGCATCACAGAGTTGTTATTACTGTTTAACTATTCTTATAAGTACAGTGTAACAAGTGTTGTATGTTGTAGTATTATTGTAGTGTTAGGGTTGAGGTTAGGGTTAGTCTAGTACAGGGTTCCCCAACTGGCGGCCTGCGGGGGGGGGGGTTCGCCTTTAAAAACACCAGGAAATCAGCTCCAAGAAATCTGTTCCCAAGTATTCCCATGCATAATAGAAGCGTGATCGTATACAAATGTAAGCAAGGTTTTAAATGGTTTGCTTTAATCAAACATTATATCTGTTTTGGCTTCTTGTGGTCAATTTGTAGTCTACAAATTATTCGTAATTTTGTTCTAGCCACCATCCGCTCCAGAAAAAATCGGCCCGCGTCTGAATCTAGTTGATGATCCCTGGTCTAGTATTTATAAGCACACTGACTCTTCCTCTCCTCCTCGCAGAGGCTCAAGAAATGAAGCGGATCTCTCAGATGTGGAGAGAGATGGATCAGAACCACCGCAGGGCTTCCCTCCACACTCCTGGGTAACTCTTAAATCACTGATAGGCAGTCTCTCTTGCTCTCTTTCTGTCTTCCTCCTTTACTCCCTAATCATTATTTGTTTAATCTATTCTCCACATCTTCTTTCTCCTTTCTCTTTATTTGATTAGATGGGAGGAGGAGGGAAGGGAAAGGTGGAATTCACTGATCCAGGGTATGGTGGCTCAGATGGACAAACAACATGGGCCCATATGGACTTCTGAGGACTGCACAGACCAGGGCTACCCGCCCCCTAACCTGCAGGCTCTGCTGAAACTGGTGCTGGTGCCTCGCATAGACAACATGTCTGTTCAGGCCATTGTATCCGACCATGGAGAATCCATTAAGTGTCCTCAAAGATATGACTGTGTTAATATGACTGTCATGTGAACTGAACTGAATATACAGTATTCTTGATATGTACACTACACTTAACACAGCCTGTGCACAGCTCATGTACTTCATCCTGGACATGGCAAACTTCCTGCAGTGCAAAGATAACCTCCTGCAGTCTTTTTGCCACGCCTTCATCATCCCTCCCAGCTTCTCCCAGCAGATCCGGGCCTTCTGGCTCCTCGACCATGGACACTTATCGGTACCTTTGATCTCACAGTAACGTTTAGTCTATCGATGTCTATGTTTTCCTGGATTTAGCAGGGTTCAACAGAGCCAACAGATTGTCCTATGGCTGTCATTGCCTCTGTATAGGGCTCCATGGAGCTGCTGCTGAGCCCCAGGTCTGAACCACCCTGGTTCTCCTGGCAGCACCGCTGCATCATCCACAGCCTGCTGAGGAGAAAGCAGCTCCGCTTGGCGCTGAAGTACGTCTACTGGACCAGACTAGCCACAGACACCCCCCAAGACCTCAAAGTCTGTGTGGACGTACTCCTACAGAACAGGTACGGTCAGGTACACAAGCATGTGCTATACCAAATGGACTACTGTATACCATATATACTCTCTCTCTCTGTATAGCTCACGGTTTTCATATTAAATCTTGTTTTCTCTGCCCCTAAGCCATGTCTCAGACGCCTGGGCCCTCCTGAAGAAAGGACACACAGGAAGTAATGACATGGTCAGATACTTCCTCCATGAATGTGAGAGGCTTGGCCTATGTATGGCGGCTTTAGACTGCATGGAAGCAGTATGGAAGGTGAACCCCTTTGTAACACTATCATAAAATATATCTAAATACTTAGGCATATACATGCAGTTTGTTTATGTCAGTATTCACATTTTCTATTGAAAAATGGTACCTTTATTAGGATGTGGGCCATTGTACTAATCAGTCGGAAGAGGCTGAGAGTCAGTGTGGAGTAGAGGGGCTTCCTCAGCGTAAGAGGACCACAGGGATCTCTATGGCAGTGAAAGAGCCAGGTTGGATCACTGATTGTGACTGATACTAATTTGAGAAATATCATCATCACTATCAAGTATTCTGAAAGTCAGTGAAATGTTGTGAATTGCAGGGGGTCCCATTCATCCGTTCTCTGCCCTGCTGTATCAGTCTCAGAACATCAACACTCTCTCTTCAGAGGATTTGATCAGACTCCTCAGGGAATATATGATTGAACTGAGACAACCCCAGCCAACAGTGAGGTACATTATTCAATACAAAATACCCAATGTCAGTGTGTGTTTGGTATAATCAGTTTTTTCTTGTCCCTGGCCCAGCGAGGTGGTGACATGGCCAGGGGAGTACCAAGAGAGGAGAGGGAGCTGTCAGAACCTGAGTCTGACCATCCAGGACCTTAGGCACCTCCTCCCTAGCCCCTCCCCAGCGGGTATGATGACTGACAGGCTGGGAGAGCAGGGAGACACCGAGCCACCTGATGACCTGCCTCTTATAGCTGAGGTACTTTACTACTGTGGCTTTGTCTGAGAGTGAGTGTGCTGAGGAATAATACTTTGGCAATGAGTAAAATAATGAATTTCGTTGTATCATTGCAGGAGAAACCCTGGACCCCGGCACACCTCTCCTCTCAATCCCTGTCCAAGGAGAGCTCTGAATCTATGTTATCTTTTACATCTGCCCCCACGCTGCACCGTCTGAGACGGGGCATCCCATATGTGTATGGGAGCACAGTGATGCTGCAGCGAATCTCATCCCTGCTCAGTGATAGAGGACAGTGCCAGAACAGGCAGGGTGACAGCCCTTCCCCCCCAGCAGACATACTCCTCCCAGACTGCCCTGACCGGACTCTGACACTAGAGGGTGCCACAGACCCTGTCTCCTTCAACAGCCTTAGTAAAGACAGCATGGAGGTGGAGGAGCTGGCGTTCTCCACTGAGTGTGAGTTCAGATGCACAGGCTAGAGCTGTTTTATACTCAACATTTAAGTTGTCGGCTCCTTTTGAAATAATGTTCTTGAGTGTTAACCCAACAGAAATCCATGTTCTGGTCATCTGTTTAGGGGGAGTGGAGGAGATCATGACCTGTGATACACCAGGAGACGACGTCTTCATTGTGGAAGAGGAGGCCGTTCCTCCTGTAGATGTAACATTAGACAGAAGGTGACCCCTCTCAAACCTTACATTTACACAATGGCTATGTTTACTTTATCATTTCATTAACAGACTGATGATTCCATAATTCCACTATTTTCTGTGGCCAGCATTGTGTTATGCAGAACAATAAATAAAGGACATGTTCTTTATGTGATTATTTGTTTGTCAGGCATAGTCTGAGCAGACTGAACCTCCATCCTCAGTTCTACAGTAATGAGGACAACCAATCAGTGCCCTCTGTATCTGAGATCCAAGTGGAGAGTCATAACTTTCTGACACCTGACTCTGGTGTGTTTCAACTGTTAATACAATCTCAGTGTTGTGGCTGTGTTTTCACTATATCTACTGTATGATTTGACTGAGAGATTATTAAATAATTTTCCCTTTAACTAAGTACTTTTGTTCATGTTAATCCAGAGAAAATTGACTACTACAAGGAGGTTACTGACAAAATCATGCATGTACCAAGTGTGATTGACGTGTGGAGCATCATGCCTGGAGGGGACAAATCCGAGAACATCCTCCCCCAGACCTCCACATTCTCTGGGGCTGCTGCTGCCTCATCTCTCTGCTTCCTGGAGCTGGAGCCCTTACAGGTGACAGACCTCTCTACTGTCCAATTACATACAGTTGAAGTCGGAAGTTTACATACACCTTAGCCAAATACATTTAAACTCAGTTTTTCACAATTCCTGACATTTAATCCAATAGAAATTCCCTGTCTTAGGTCAGTTAGGATCAACACTTTATTTTAAGAATGTGAAATGTCAGAAAAATAGTAGAGAGAATGATTTATTTCAACTTTTATTCTTTCATCACATTCCCAGTGGGTCAGAAGTTTACATACACTCAATTAGTATTTGGTAGCATTGCCTTTGAATTGTTTAACTTGGGTCAAACGTTTCGGGTAGCCTTCCACAAACTTCCCACAATAAGTTGCGTGAATTTTGGCCCATTCCTCCTGACAGAGCTGGTGTAACTGAGTCAGGTTTGAAGGCCTCCTTGCTCGCACACGCTTTTTCAGTTCTGCCCACAAATTTTCAATAGGATTGAGGTCAGTGCTTTGTGATGGCCACTCCAATACCTTGACTTTGTTGTCCTTAAGCCATTTTGCCACCACTTTGGAAGTATGTTTGGGGTCATTGTCCATTTGGAAGACCCATTTGCGACCAAGCTTTAACATCCTGACTGATGTCTTGAGATGTTGCTTCAATATATCCACATAATTTTCCTTCCTCATGATGCCATCTATTTTGTGAAGTGCACCAGTCCCTCCTGCAGCAAAGCACCCCCACAGCATGATGCTGCCACCCCTGTGCTTCACGGTTGGGATTGTGTTCTACGGCATGCAAGCGTCCCCCCTTTTCCTCCAAACACAACGATGGTCATTATGGCCAAACAGTTCTATTTTTGTTTCAACAGACCAGAAGACATCTCTCCAAATAGTACAATCTTTGTCCCCATGTGCAGTTGCAAACCATAGTCTGGCTTTTTTATGGCGGTTTTGGAGCAGTGGCTTCTTCCTTGCAGGTTATGTCGATATAGGACTCGTTTTATTGTGGATATAGATACTTTTGTACATCTTCACAAGGTCATTTGCTGTTGTTGTGGGATTGATTTGCACATTTCGCACCAAAGTACGTTCATCTCTAGGAGACAGAACACGTCTCCTTCCTGAGCGGTATGACAGCTGCGTGGTCCCATGGTGTTTATACTTGCGTACTATTGTTTGTACAGATGAATGTGGTACCTTCAGGCATTTGGAAATTGCTCCCAAGGATGAACCAGACTTGTGGAGGTCTACAATTTATTTTCTGAGGTCTTGGCTGATTTATTTTGATTTTCCCATGATGTCAAGCAAAGAGGCACTGAGTTTTAAGGTAGGCCTTGAAATACATCCACAGGTACACCTCCAATTGACTCAAATTATGTCAATTAGCTTATCAGAAGCTTCTAAAGCCATGACATCATTTTCTGGAATTTTCCAAGCTGTTTAAAGGCACAGTCAACTTAGTGTATGTAAACTTCTGACCCTTCTAGAATTGTGATACAGTGAATTATAAGTGAAATAATCTGTCTGTAAACAATTGTTGGAAAAATTACTTGTGTCATGCACAAAGTAGATGTCCAAACTGACTTGCCAAAACTATAGTTTGTTAACAAGAAATTTGTGGAGTGGTTGAAAAACAAGTTTTAATGACTCGAATCTAAGTGTATGTAAACTTCCGACTTCAACTGTACATACTGTACATACTATGCTGACAACCTACAGTATTCGTCAACTCAACTGGGTTTCTGTATGTCTGTGTTTGTTCAGAGGGCGTTCGACCCTCCACTGCTTGAGGAGGCAGTGGAATGTTTCCGCCGGGACTCCCAGGATGCAGTGGACCAACCGGAGATCCTGACCTCCTGTGCCCTCACTGAGACCACCCAGGATCTGCTCTCTGAGCTCCACCAGACCTTCTGCTTCCTGGAGGAGCTGGGAGATGCAGGGCCCAGTGGCCCAGAGACAGAGAGAGGCTCTACCCTGGAGGGGGAGCAAGACAGTGGGGCTTCCGGGAGGTACATCAGGCCCTTCTCTCTCCAGGACTCCTCCCTGCTCATCCCCCTGCGGAGGTCCATACGCTCCAGACAGCTGAAGGTTCCTGGAGTGTCTCTGTCCCCTAGGACTAGCCCCAGCCGCACACCCCAGCTCAGCCCCTCCTCAGCCCCAGAGACATCCAGGGACAGGTTACCTGGAGGGGGGAAGGCCTCGCACAAGGAGGACGCAGCATGCTTCAGAAGCACCCCAGAGGTTAGGCTAGGCCACTGTAAGCTGGGCAGCTGGTGGAAACAAGCCCTGGAGACCCGGAGGGCATCCACTGGCCTACTGCCTGCCATAGAGCAGGTGTCCACCATCTCACGAGGTAGTGTGTTTGTGTGTGTTTTTGTACTGTATGTTTATATGCAAATCAATCGTTTTGTGTGCTTGATAGTGCCGCATTCTGCAGACTCCCCATGTGATATGCACAATTTTATCTTACTTGTTGATGATATTAAAATGGATAGAAATGACAAGCTACTCTATCTTGCATTTAGAAACCCATTTAGTGTCACAGCTACCAAAGTTGGAAATTCTGCACCGATTTGCCCATATATTAATATTATTACTTGATATACATGCAGATAGTGTGTGTTTGTCTGTATTGAGGATTAGAAATGCCTCTAGTATCATCTTCCTTTGTCATTGTGACGGGGAACGTTGAGAGAGCCCTTTCTTTGGAACATTACATTGATGGAGCATTAGAAACAGCAGCAGCAGCAGTGTTGTTTGTCACGTCTGGCTGGAGACTGTAGTGTGTGCCTCTGTTGAGTGTGAATGTGTGTGTGTGGGGCCATAGTTGGCCTGTTGCGGTCACTCAGTGGGGAGTCTATATCCAGAGTGGGACCCAGGTACTGCTGGGAGAGGGGTGATGAAGGATGAAGTACAGAGAGGAGGGGGTGTACTGTAGTGTCAGACCAGGACTCTCTCAACCTTGCCACAGTTACTCATCCGTGGCCCCCACCTCCTGCTCTCCGTGGTAGGGGCCTTCCACTGATGTTACCCAAAGCAGATGGAGCTCTGCTGGGCCTTGCTGATCACCGCTGGACCTGGGGAACTCATAGCCCCACACACCACACTAATGCCCTGCCTCATCGCTGGGACCAGGGCTTAGGAGACCAACACACAGCAGGGGCCAAATGTGACATTTAATTAAAGCTCAGTTTGTTAAATTAAATCAATAGTTTCAGAAAGCAGGTGACCCTGATATCTGCTACAGTTATAATTTTTTGCTTCTCAGGAAGTTATGTGCGTTTGTTAGCCTGCCAGCGAGGATGTGGCAGAGAGTGTTTAAGTGGCTGGCCATATTGGCATAGGAGGTCTCTGTGAGGTTATAATGTACAGCATGACAGTTGTAGCTACTGTGCTGTACACCTCTGAGTGATCTAATTTGAATCATTTCCTGTCCTCCCTGTCCCCTCTCTCTTCATCCACAGAAAAGAGGGCCTCTCTCGTCCCAGGTCAACCCTACTCCCACAGTGTGGTCAACTTCCTGGAGTCTCCAGCCAAGCAGAGAGCAGACAAGAGGGAGGTCAAACAGGTACAGGTCATTTCTCTCTCTGTGGTCCCTGGCCTTACATGGAGGCTGTCAGTATAGGGGGAAATATGCCATGGTTGGCCAATGGGGGGGAAATATGCTACGGTTGGCCAATGGGGGGCAGTGTTGTCCCAGCTTGGAAGTTTTTATTTTGTCTCTGATTTGAATGATCTCATACCAACCTCCCATGAGCCAGCCCATCCCAGCCCAGCAGGTACACTCTCCCCTCCTTTCCCTTCCCCCTGTCACAACCTACACATCTTTCCTCACCAGACTCAGTAATGTCATCTAATAACATGGTGAAATCATATTCAGGCTTTGATAATACATGTTAAATACTTTTTTGTTACATTTAATTGGAATAATAAAAAAAAAAAAAAAAAAAAAATCTGAAGTCAACCTCACTACTTTGATGCTACATGCACGCTATAGGTACTACATTCACTTTGTGTTTCTCTGACAAAAGTTGTAGACTGCTTTCTTGGCTCCTTCTAATCTCTCTTGCCACGAGGGCGGCAGGTAGCTTAGTGGGTAAGAGCGTTGTGCCAGTAACCGAAAGGTCGCTGGTTCCAATCCCCGAGCCGACTAGGTGAAAAGTCTGTCGATGTGCCCTTAAGCAAGGCACTTAACCCTAAATGCTCCTGTAAGTCGCTCTGGATAAGAGCGTCTGCTAAATGACTAAAATGTAAATGTAAATGTTTACACCTGCCGCTTACATGGGTCATTCGTCCTGATCTTGCCAGTTTACACTTATAAGATCTGATCAAAATCAGTTCACAATGCCTCTTTTAATCATCTACACCCGTCTAAAAATGTGGGCACAATCAGAATGAGGACAAGATCAGGACAAAGGGTGTATGTTAAAACAAGGTATAAAAGTGGCTTTTGTCTAATGCATTGACGGATCTCACAGTTGGTGTGTTTGACCCCATGACATCATGATGTCAGCAGTGGATGTACAGCATGTGTACTGTAATGTTGCTGCACTGATACGATTAGGCAGTTGTTCAATTGAGATGTAATTGTTTAATTGGGATGTAATTATCTTATTGTTTGGTTGGAGTCAAGGGAACCATATGGAGCCTGGCAGGTGAAATGTAATTACACAAAGTTAATTCATGATGACGTAGTTGATAATTATACCTTTGGGATGCTGACTGGTGTATGGACCGTTTGTGTGAATGGTTGATGTTTTTTGGCGTATTGAATGCTGATATTGCACAATTCTAAATTAGTACCCATCATAAAAGATACTGATTTTATTCCAATACATTAACTTGTTAAAACACTGCTTAGATTGATGTTATAAAGATAAGATTACCTGGATGATTTATTCCATGTTTTATTCAATTTTCCCACTTTGTATGGCCACCACAAATCTGTATTCCAGTCTGGTATGGTGATCAGATTATCCATCTAGGCCTGGCTCCACCTGTTGGCAGACAAAGAGAACAAAGGGGATGGGATTTGATAAATTGGCAGATTGGGAGATATTGATGACAAATGTGTGAAGATAAAAGTCATACTAAGCAGCATATTATCGAACCATCTCCAATTAAAACACAGCAGCAGCTATGGATAATCAGAGTGCAGGATATTAGGTTGACAATTATACATTTTTACTGTTAATGTCTCGTGTGACCTCATGATCAGATTGGTTATGGTGAAGCAAGGTTATGATGTTCATGAAAGGGATGCTCATCAAACAATGTGCATGACACTGGTACTGCTGACAGATGTAAAGACATTACTGGAAGGTTTTAGCTTGTTGGTCAACTTGTGTGGATCCTACTGAAAATCTTTGTATGGAGAGAGGCAGGCTGAATGAAGATAGCTCATTGGGTTGTGGTGACACATGGAGGAGATTCACATGAAGATGAATGGCCTCTATTAGGAACATTTCATCAGTGCCTGGGCCCTGTGGTTTCAGTCTCCCTCAACCCCCGGGGAACGATAAATGACCACAGGATATTTCATCACCCCCTCCATTTCCCAACTCAGGATATGAGGGCCTAATTGTGTCTGTTTTCTGGTGTTCTGTTGTCCCATGTGTTCCAGGCAGAGAAAGAGGAGCTGCTGGGTCGGAGGGGCTCTGGGAAGTTGCCCCACCAGCGGGCGGAGCAGGGCGTGGTGAGCCATAGGGGAGCCAGAGTGAAGAAGGGCAAACGGGTGAAGAGGGCATGAGGACATCATGTTACACATCTATACTTTAGTTCTGTGTGTGAGATCTAAATTGACCAAATCCTGTATAGTCCTACTGTTGTGCTACACTTCAAACCACTGTCAATCTACTCAGGTGCAGACTGTTATTAAATGTTTTTTACTTGGCAGATACAAATAAATATTTCTCACAGAAATGATTCGTTGATTTGTCACAGTAATGGCTTCACAGTATGCATGGACAGATCATCCAAAAGGTGTGGTTGCATCTAAACACATGACATTTCTTTTTTATCTAAAAAAAGATTCCATTCTGAGCACAGTGGTGATCGTCACCATGGCTGTCATGGATGACCTTTGGTCCAGTGACCTTACTACACCACACCACATCACCTCTCCTGTCACCTCTCATCTGAGCTCTCCATCTGACTGGTCAGATTTGTTGTGACAGGTCCTGATTCCTTTGGCGACCTCTCCCCTCCAACAGGCTGCTGGAATGTTCTCAGGACACATCCTCCTCCTTATACAATTATACTACACACACACACACACCAGAAACGGCTCATCAATATTAATCTCTCAGTAATTATTGATAAGGGTTAAATTATTTAATACTTCACGAACCCAGTCGAAATTAAGAATAGTGGATTCTGTGTCATTTACGTATAGTCTCAATGATCTGAATAGATGCAAGGTCGTTTGGATTTACTAAGGATAAAGATAAAATCTGGACTAACTCATTCTAAAAGCACCATATGATGTCCTTGGATATCTGTTGGATATCTATCTGTCAGTTTTCCCCCTTTTTAAAAAGGATTTGCCTTGCTGCTCTTCCAACTCATGAAAAATGGATGACCTCCCATGCTAGCTGCTGTTGCCCATCTCTCCTCACATTTACACAGTGCCCTGGGATTGCATTTAGGTTAGCATCCTTCCCCCTCTCTCGATTTGGGAGGTGGAGGGGGTTGAATAACTTAAAACACATTTCAGCTTGACACGCTTCTGCCTGGGGTCTCCCTTGGGTCTCCCGTCCACGAGCCGGGCCCACACACACACTGCATTATTACGAAATATGTGTGTGTCACCTTCTGGAGTTGTTAGGTGTCCCAGCATGACCTCACCAGGTGTGACAACACCTCTGATACCCAGTTGGTGCATGGTCTTGGAGGCACAGGGCCAGCCGGTGTTTTGGATGCTTTAGTTTACACCTCAGCAATCATGACTAGGATTGGCTGCACAGTTGAATGTTTTTCGAATCCAAAGAACCTTTCATACAGTATAATATCTTCATCCCCAACTTACAGTGCAGTATAGTAATTCATGATTTGAGCACAAATAAAGATCTTCTAAATGGAAATATTCAAAGGACAAAAACCTGTCTTGAAATAATGATGCTCAAAAACCTATCAGGACACGCGGTCTGGAAAATAAATAATTGTTCGGACCACACACATCCAATAACTCATACTAATTTGAATACTGATAACAATCGTGGAAACCTGGGCTCTGCACTGCAACAAAATGACACATAAATCATGTGCAGAGCAGACGAGGTTAAAAAGCCCAACCAAACATGATGGATACAAATTGCTGCCTGATGTTTGTAAATCATTCTTATAAATAATTGTCTGTGTGCGAATGGAGGCACGCTCTGGAAAATGCAAGGTGATTAATACTTGCTATTGAAAAACTCTCCATGTGAGTACCCTTTCTGACCCCTATAATGTACTTTTTATTGCTATTTCATCTATTTCTTCATCTTCAAAACGAGCGTCCTTAACCTTCCCAAGTGTAGACTCATATAGGCCACAGTAAGCCCCATCTTTGTAGGGGGTTGATATAGCATATTCCACCGATTTAGCACAATAAAACAAAATACCTTCACATGCAGATATAATGGCAGCTACTTTCCATAATATGGAAATTATTTGCAACTTATTTTCAAAACACTATATCCACCAATTTTGGTGTTTTTTCATCAAAAAGTATTTCTTATGGGTACCTTCATGTGTGTGTAAAATGTTACTGTTCACAGATTTTTTTTATTCATCGATTTTAGATGTGTATGAAAATGAGATTGTTTTACAAAACGCTATATATCCATCCATATATCCTGTATATTTGACTGTGAAATGTAGTTGTCTCACCTAGCTATCTTAAGATGAATGCACTTACTGTAAGTTGCTCTGGATAAGAGCATCTGCTAAATGACTAAAATGTCAAACGTAAATGTTTTACATACAGATCTCACATTACTGTATTGAATTACTTTAAAAAATATTTTTTTAATATTCATGTCACAAATGTATTATTTGTACATTTCTTAATTAAAAATGTAGTTATTTGTTACATTTGACTGTGTGAAACCTAGCAGGACTACTTATTTCTCTGAGTGAGGCGGATATATAGCATTTAGCAAAAAACATGATTATTTTTCAAATACATGTCTGTCATTGAACAACCCCATGCCATGGTTAGATAGTGAAAAAAACAGCAAACAATAAAAGCTAATTTACCAACATTTCTGGAATGAAACTCTCCATATGTCATCTGCATTCAAGGGCTTGAAATCATCATCAACAGTAGCCTAGGTAGAGTGGGAAGTAAACAGTGCAGTTTCATGGGCATCCTACCTGATGTTAAGTGGAGTACCATAAAGGGAAAGGGAAGGCAGTGGTTAGGGCCAGAGAGGAGGCAGATCATCAGGTACACTCCTAGAAAAAATGGTGCTATCTAGAACCTAAAACGGTTCTTCAGCTGTCCCCATAGGAGAACCCTTTGAATAACCCTTTTTGGTTCCATGTAAAACTCTTGCCACAGAGGGTTCTATATGGAACCCAAAAGAGTTTTACCTGGAACCAAAAAGGGTTTTACCTGGAACCAAAAAGGGTTCTCCTATGGGGACAGCTGAAGAACCCTTTTGGAACCCTTTTATCTAAGACTGTACCATGCCCACTGGAGGGCAGTGTCTGGGCAGGGACATGGAGCTGGGTTGGTGGCTGACAAGGAGATGAGGACGGAGATTAGGATGGAGCGGAGGGGAGGGAGCAGTACCTGGGTTTCGCTGGGCTGGCTGTGGGTTTACTGTTTACCAGATGGCTTCACTGTTTTATGACCAATGAGTCAGACAGTTACCTGCGCCTCCTTGAGAGCTGTCACCATGTATCAGGAAACTATTGTGTGTGTGTGTTATTAGAGGTACAGTCATTTAGGAAACCATGCATGCCACATGAATGCAAATGGTAGGTATGATTTTGAATTTTCGTAGGCTACTTCAGTCCAATGGAAAACAATGGTATTATTAAAGCGATAATTATCAAGTGAATTCACATTGATGATTGGGTCCTTCCACCAAACCGGTACGATTTGGACTTTGACATTTTTAGATTTATTTACCTTAATAAAGAAAAACAATCTGAACACCCCACGACATGAACTACATATTTAACCTCCAAGAAAACATATTCTCCCATCTCAGGCATCAAAGCCCTATTATTATTGCCCATTGTCTTCTGATATGGACACCATTTGTCTTCAACCCCGTTATGGACACTATGGAGATTGTCTGAATATGATTATAAAAGATACTTGTAATAAAATCAACATTTCCCTATTAATCATATGTCCCTCAAACTAATTCAATAATTGCTAATATTAAATGTGTAAAAATCGCACACTTTTCTAGTACAGCATGAAATGGACACTGTGTGTCAGCGGCCTCATCATTTTTGATCAAAAAGATGGTTTCGCTTCAGAATTTGAACAAAGATCCATATTCTCATGATTGCTCTAAATATTTCAGACTGAGCTCAACAAACATAAAATTCATATTTCATAACTTTCCCCCCCAAAATTCACAAAATTGTCATGTAACAGGTTTGAGACTAGGGTAACGGGGTTGAAGATGGTAACGGGGTTGAAGAGACATAGGGCTTCCATATAAATTGGTTTTGTTTACTCAAATTCACTCCAAGATTTTCTATAAACATTGTATTTCATAGATATAACCATGTAATGAGGACAATAGATATCAAGTTGAATTAGAGTTTTATTAACCCAACTGCAGTTAAAGAAAAAATATATATACATAGCAGACATGAATAACATTGAAGAGAGCTGGGCCTGCCTGTAGAAACACCACAGGCTGGGTTCCCACTGGGTACACTTCCTATTGGCATTCTGAGGTTTTAGGGTATGTTGTGTGTGTGTGTGTGCATGTGTGTGAGGACATGGAGACACTCAGGAACACCATGGAGCAGGTCTCACAGGTATGTAGACACTTTTTGTGGTGTGTGTGTGTTTGTTTGTGTGTGTGTGTGTGTACATGGAGACTCTCAGGGGCACCATGGAGCAGGTCTCACAGGTAGGTAGATACTTTTGGTGTGTGCTTGTGTGTGTGTGTGCCTCTTACTTCATGGCATTCATCTTGAAAGTCTGGCCCACACCTCTTTCAACATATCTACGTGGCGAGATGTCAAGACTGTGGGGGTGGAATGATTTCAAGGACATCCTCAAACAGGTACCAGTGGATGTCATCACGAGCAGGCCAGAAGAATCTGTTTGATCCAACGCAATCCACTTTAATTTGAAATGCGTTTCATCTGTGTTAAGGATGATGCCTGGATATAGGTCTTCGTTGAATCTGAGCCTACACCACTGCTCAAGCAGCCCTGGACTTCCCCAATGATATTATTGACCATAACCTGTTATTGAAAAAACGTACACTACTGTTCAAAAGTTTGGGTCACTTAGAAATGTCCTTGTTTTCGAAAGAAAAGCAATTTTTTTGTCCATTGAAATAACATAAAATGGATCAGAAATACAGTGTAGACATTGTTAATGTTGTAAATGGCTATTGTAGCTGGAAACGGCTGATTTTTAATGGAATATCTACATAGGCGTACAGAGGCCCATTATCAGCAACCATCAGTCCTGTGTTCCAATGGCACGTTGTGTTTTCTAATCCAAGTTTATCATTTTAAAAGGCTAATTGATCATTAGAAAACCCTTTTGCAATTATGTTAGCACAGCTGAAAACTGTTGTGCTGATTAAAGAAGCAATAAAACTGGCCTTCTTGAGACAAGTTGAGTATCTGGAGCATCAGCAATTGTGGGTTCGATTACAGGCTCAAAATGGCCAGAAACAAATAACTTTCTTCTGAAAGTCATCAGTCTATTCTTGCTCTGAGAAATGAAG